AGCTGTTCCCATGTGCCACAGCCTGTGTGGGAGGAGGGGCAAGCCCTGGCAGTGGCCACCCCTGAGGTCCTCTGCTTGTGTGCACCCCACAGCAACCTCGAAGAGCTGGGAATGGCTGTCCACAGGGTCCAGCATGGCCACCACCCCACCTGGTGGCCACTGCAGGAGCGTGCAGAAAAACCAGCTCTGTCCTGGGCCGGCCCTGGGAGGCCGGTTCTGCAGAGTCCTTCCCACATGTGCCCAACAGCCCTGCAAGACGACCTGGTGGGGAGGGCAGCACCCGTCCTGGCCGTGGCGGCCACACACCCTGGGTCTCAGCAGACAGTCTGGGAGACAGTGACATCCTACGGAGGGAGAGCCTGGGTGGTGGACAGCGAGCCTCACAGGGCAGCCCATGATGATCATAAAGGTGGCAGTGGGTGCCACGACACCCGTGCCTGAGCCTCGGTGACCTGCACACCGAGGACCCTTCCTGGTGGGCCTGTCTGGAGGGTGGCCCTGGGGAGTCGGGGAGGCTCTTCTTCACTTCTGTGGTCCGGGGAGCAACCAGCCTCGCTGCTGCACCTATCCCCCTGGGCTGCACCCAGGCCCCTCATTTTTAACTTTTGGTATTGGGGTGGAAACTCGGGTGCTTTACGACTGAGTTCAACCCGTCTTGTGAGTCGCTGAGGCTGGTCTCAACCTTGTAATCCTCCTGCCTCAACCTCTGGCCTCTGGGATAACATTGTCACCCAGAGGAGAGCATCCAGCACTCTTACAAATCCATCAAATGCCATCCAGGACTTCTGGGACCAGCCCTGGTCATGGTCAAAGCTTGCCTCCAAACTCACCAGGGAGTAAGTTTCTCTTTGGTGACACGCCAACCTAGTAGGGGCTTGGGAACAAAGAGCAAGTCCAGTAGTACACTCTTCAGAAATGAACATGTCCCCGTTGTGACAAACTGCTGCATTAACACAAACCTGAATTGAAGAGCTGGGTGTGGCCTTCAGAGGATCTCTGAACTATCACCATAACTTGTATGACTCCGAAATGATTCTACAAGTTTCACATACGACTTTTATAACAGCACTGCCTGTGTACAAGAGAGGAAAAGGCTTTTGTTCCAGCCAGTGCTGCAGATTCTGGTCAAGTCTACCTGTCCTTTCCCCCACCTCAGCCCGGATGCCAGGCCTGCGTGACAGCCCCTGCCCTGCCAGTGCACCTGCCCTTGCCTCTCGTCCCCAGGGACCAGGAGGATCTGCTTAGCACTGGGGCCCCAGCCCCTCAGAACTCATCAGGTCCTGCGTGGTCCTCAGTAGGCGGCAGGCCTGCTGGAGCCCCAGTCTCCCACTAGGGAAAGGGGCGGAAAAGGTGGAGCAGGGATGCAGCAGGATTTGTGTGCAGCAAATGATGTGCACGTGGGAAGCGTTTTCCAAACTCGAGTTTGGTTATTTGTTTTATAGTCTGTACTGACTGTAGCCCTACAAAGTGGAAAGTGTTGGGTGGACTTACAGCACTGCCAATTTTTTAAAAAATCTAAAATACTGAAGAAGGTAAGTAAGTTTGGGAAGCAATGGAAGTTGGGGGAAGTGGGAGAACTGGTGGTTGCTGGTGGAGTCGGCGCCAACTTCCTGGATCCCGGGCTGCACGAAGGGGTCACGTGCCGGGGAGCAAACCGAGAGTCCGGGGTTGGGTGCCAAAACTTCTGCCGAAACCCGGGATCGAACCAGGGACCTTTAGATCTTCAGTCTAACGCTCTCCCAACTGAGCTATTTCGGCCGAGCGCGAGGCGCGTCCTTTTGCCGGAACTCCGCCCCGCGCCGCTGCCGCTGGCGTCGCTGCTGCCGCCGTCGCCGTGCGCAGAGCGCGCATGCCTCGTAGGACGCCACTGGGCACCCGACTACAGCGTTGTCTCTGTGGCGCAATCGGTTAGCGCGTTCGGCTGTTAACCGAAAGGTTGGTGGTTCGAGCCCACCCAGGGACGCGCAGGGTGATCTTTTGTTTGTACAAAGGCGTCACGTTTCCTTTTGTCACCCTCGCCCCGCAGGCCCCGCACCCGGAGCCATCCTCCTGAAGCGCCCGGTGTTGGCACGAGCAAGCCGGAGGAAGCGCAGCGGAACGACCCGGACGGAGTTCCGGTTTCCGCCGCTCGCGGAGGCTTTTTGTTCACGGCCCAGGGGACCCGGAACGCTGAGGAGGACGAACCGCAAAGGTTGTCTGAAGGCCGAGGCCAAG